GGCCCGAGCGAGCAGGAGCCCGCGATTTCCGGGCTGCCGGGGCAGGGCCGCCCGTTCCTCGCCCTGGCGCGGAGAGCTCGTCCTGCTCTGTAGACGGAAAGCGGCCTGAAAGGGAGTTCTGGCCGCGTCCCCAAGCAAAATTCCTATGTGCCGCTGCTGACCTTAGAGGTTGGCTGTGAACTTCCAACACCCTGAGAAGCGGGTCCCCAGGAGAGTCTTCGGAGTCTCTCTCTTGACTTTTCATCATTCCTTCTAGAAGGATCGTTAGGTGCATTCTGCTTATTTATGGAGTCTTACCCGAAAGAGCCGTTCGTCTGAGGAATGAATGGCCGTGGGTGTTTCTTATTCACGCTCGCTTGGAGAGCATTAGCTGAGGAAAGTGTGCCTACGTATTTGCCCATAAAAGGACGCAGAGGAAAACACGGCCGCGTCACGCATCTACGAGAAGCAGTAAATCTTACCCCGGCGCCCCGGTAGTCCTGGAGTCTGTCACCTGGTCTCCGTGAGGGTCTCTTGGTAAATTCTAAGCAATTTTTCAGAGACTTTGGGACCCTGTGTTACAAGGAGCCAGCTGGTCTCGTCGTTCTTATTTTAGGGGGCTCTCTGACCTGGCAGGAACCAACGGCATCCAATTCAGGAGTCCGGGCCGAATTACCGGATCAGGGGCAGGAACGAAGAAATCGGCGATACGATAAAACCGGAGACCTAGAGAGAAATTGCGCAGGATGAACTGAGCGAGTCGGGCTCGCGGGGCGGGGTGGCACTCGGGGCTGGCACTGTCCGCCTTCTCGTGCAGGCAGAGTCCTTCTTGACGTCCCACTGGAATGGCCGTGATCACTTACGCAGAAACAGCATAGGAGGGGGGACCCCCCAAAAATCAGAATTTATTTATAAAGGCATTGTATACTTACTCTTACATGTTTAAACTTCAGTCACCTTCAGTCTCCATTTGAGGCAATACACCTAGCGAGACTTTTTTCCGCGGCTCAGAACAGGTTTTGAACCTGTCGATTTTGACACCTTTCAGTGCCTCTGCCGTTTTTTGTTTCACCTCTTCCACATCAGCAGAACGTTTCCCTTTGAGGACTTTTTTTTAATCCAGAGAAACAAAAAATGTCACATGGAGTGAGCAGGTAAATAGGGAGGGTGGGGGCCCTGCCATTTTTGGTCAATAACTGCCGACCCCTCAGCGCGGTGCGGGCAGGTGCGCTCATAAATCACCCATCATGAAATGGGCAGACACATCCAAAGAGTTAAAAAACAAAATTCACTGAAGCCGAACACAGCCTCTCCCAACAACGCCAGCTGGTCACCAATATAGATGGGTTCCTAGAACACTCTGGACTACAAGGGGCCCCCCTTCCAGAGGATAACTGTGGGGTTCTGGAGGGCCCCCTCATACACATGCACATTCTCAGATGGTGATTTCATAGTCCCTGAACCCCAGGGTGTTTCTCAATGGACTCAGTGCTTCTGTGCCACGTATTAACGTCACCGGCAGTGAGACTCAGCGATGATTTGCAGGGGCTCAGATTCAATCGGCCTGCTCTCCCCCTCGGTTTCCCTTCCTACAGATTCTTTACGTCTTGTTTTGTTAGAACTTAGTGCATGTACGGCTCTTGCGTTTTCCGAGAAAGCGGCGGCGTAGTTGGAAGCCGGAGGACACATCTCTCGGGCGTGGGATCGTTGAAACAGGTCTCCTTGAAGACAACCCCCGCCTAACGCCCGGAACCTGGGACTGTCACCTTGTGTGGTGGGACGGGGTCGTCGCAGACGTGGTTGTCAGAAGCCTTCTGAGACGCAGGAGTTGCCTGGGTTGTCCAGCGGGTCCTCCACGCTGTCACCTGTATCTTTATAAGCAGGGGGCAGCGGGAGGCTGGACACAGACAGAGGGGAGATGGTGATGTGCCCGGCGGGGTGCAGAGAGGGGAGCAGCGTGGCCACCGGAAGCTGGAGGAGACAAGGAAGAGACCGTCCCCTGGCACTTCCAAGAGAGGACGGCCCTTGCAGCGTGGGGATTTTGCCACGATGGCACACGTGCTGGGCTTCCCGCCTTTCAGAGCCGGAGAGGACACACTTCCCCCGTAGAAAGCCACCGGCGTGGCGGCGCTCTGTGGCGGCAGCCGTGGGAAACCGCGGGGACGCAGGGAAGGGGACGCCTTGGCCCGCGGTGGCTTGGCTGAGGCTCCCGGGAGGCGCGCCAGGGGCGTGCGGGGAGATCAGAGCTAGAAGAGGGACGGCACTTCGGGGCGGGGGCGTGAGACGTGGCCGTCCCTGGGCCTCACCTCCCCGCTTCTCCGGCCCCACGCCCCCCAGGGGTCCCTCCTGGACATCTCTCTCACCGCTCCGGGGACCCCACTCAGCTTCGCGGTGTGGTTCTTCACCCTCTCCGCCGCCGGAGAAGGGCCTGAGTGCATCCCACAAAGGTGCACACGCGTGCTCTGCAGCCGTGGAGAGGGCAAGACTGCGCCTTTCTCCCGCGCTGACATCTTACTATTTTGTCGCCAAGCATCAAACAGATAAAGCGCCACCTACAGGCCTTATGGAATGAACAGGAGGAGCGGAATGAACCGTAGACCCATCCACAAAGCGTAACATTCACGCAGTGACCGCCGTGCGACGGATGATTTTGGGAACTCGGTTGCCCCTTAAGGTGTTTGAGTGGCGTCGGCCCTCGTGACACAGGTGTTTGGGGTTTCGCACGCCCACCCTAGTGCACGCCGGGGGTAGCGGCGTCACCCCACATTTCTTGGGCGGGGGGTGCTGCACACCCGTGTCTAAAGCAGCTGACAGGAGGCACTGGTGCATCGTGAAGACACACAGGCAGTCCGGACAGGAAATTTTGGTGTGACTCTGTGCTTAGGATCAGAACGTGACTTTATTAATATTTATTGCCCAAGTAACGCATGTATAAACAGAAAAACACACAGTAGGGAAAAAAGATAAGAAACTAACAGCGCAAGTCAAACAATTATTATTATTATTCTTTTCACAAACTATCCATCTACAACCGGCGCCCAACTATCATTACTTTTCACCCTTTCTGACTCCAGCGTTTCTGGCGTGTACCCTGTCGTTCTTCCGATTGTGCCCATATGGCCCGTGCTCACAGAGCTCTCTCGCCCGCGGCCTGTAAGCGGATCATGTGAGAAGATTGAGGGACAGCCAGCAGAGCGGACCCCTGATGGCTTATGCTTTTAAAAAGTCTTCTGGGCCCTGGCCGGGGTGGCTCAGGGGGCCGGGTGGCGTCCCGCAAAGCGAAAGGGCGCCAGTTCGATTCCCGGTCAGGGCACCTGCCTGGGTTGCAGGCCAGGCCCCCAGTAGGGGGCGTGCAAGAGGCAGCCAATCAGGGTTGCTCTCTCCTCTCACATTGATGTTTCCCTCCTTCCCTTGCCTTCTCTCCAAAAATAGTAAATAAAGATTTTTGAAATGGAAAACCCCTTGCAAGCATTCACGGTTTCATACACAAGTGCACCTTTCCGTCGTACAGCCTGGCACGGGACAAAGCCAGAGATAAAACTGTGAAACTGTGTCACCAAACAGTTGTCTGGGGAATTGAGGTCAAGTCAACTCATTTCTTAAAATCCACCCGCAGCTGCAGTGAGTTGATGGTCATTTGGACCACGGCCGCCTTAAGCAAACCCGTCGTCTCAGCCATTCAGTCTGGGTGCGCCCATCCCACCGGCCGCTTCGGGGGGTTTCACTCAGATTATTCATTCTCGTGCTGTTCGGTGATCTGACAAACATTCGTACCGCGTCCCAACAACCTACCCCAGATTTCGAAATAAAAAATTCCAACAAGCGCCGTGACAGCCGGGACACTGAAGAGAGAAACAGACATAAGGAAACGTCCAAATGTAAATATCTCGCCGGTCCGGACCCCTTTCATGGGGGAGGCTCGCAGCCCCCCAGGCCCGCCGCCCAGCACCGGGGACCGCCGCGCCCAGCAGCTCCGCCCAGAACCGGGGGGAGGGGACCCCGCGTCTGCAAGGACAGTGGCGTGGCGGCCGCCATCTTCCATCTAAGACAGCAGGACGAAGCCGGCACCTGGGCGCGTGGCCTACCTCAGAGCTGGCTGGAGTCGAGTCTCTCGCGACCAGGACGCGGGGGAGGCCGGCTGGAGGTGCCGCCCGGTGCGTTCAATCTCTCAGCTCAGGCTCACGGGCCACACACATGCAGATGGCCCTTTGTCTTTGAAAAGGAGGTGGATGGATTTTCGTGCCTCTGATGGACAAAGCCTCCTCGGAGGCAGGTCCGAGAGCCCACAGGCTTCGAGGTCAGGACGTCGGGTAAAAGCTGCCAGGTTTCTCTGCCCCTCCCCCGCCCGCTGCCAGCGTCGTTCAGGACACAGCTCCCCTGGGGGTGGGGGGGCGGCGGGCTGAGCACCTCCAAGGCCCTTCCCAGATGCTCACGCCCAAGCGCGGCCACCCAGGGATGCAGGGCAGCGTCTGGCTGTTGGCACATGCACGTTTGCGAGGTGACTCCGTCGGGACAAGAACAATCCCCAAGCCACAGACAGGCGGGGACAAGTGAGGCGTGCGGGGCGTAAATACCCAAGAAACGTGTCGGTGGTGTTTCACCCCCAGCGGCCCCATGTTGCCGACACCGGGCATTTAATAGACGCTCCGCGATCGGCGGGTCACGTAACGCAGCGGAGAGTCTTTCTAGACCTCGGCTCCTTCCTCTTGTGACGATTCCCGCCTTTTGCCCATCAGTCAGCCTTGAAACGGTGCTCAGACCTAAAAAACGTGCTCGTGCGTGTTGACACGTGGACGGCGTGACGCAATGCCACTTCTGAATCGCAGTCCCCTTGCTATCATTTTTGGTGGTTTAATTGTTTTAAAAAAAGAGAACTGTGACTGGCTTTGTTGTTCAGTGAATGTTTGTGGAAATTACATTTTACCACCCATCCCGCGTCTGAATGGCCATCGAGTGTTTATCGTCCCCTTTTACTGAGAAACATAAAGTGTTAACTATTTGCCTCTTTTTTTGCCCCCCAGCGGAAGATAACAGTCTGTCTCAGAAGAAGAAGGTCACCGTGGAGGATCTCTTCAGCGACGAGTTCAAAGTTCACGACCCCGAGGCGAAGTGGATAAGCGGTGAGTCCCATGAGCCCCAGGGACAGGACAGCCGGCCCCCCCCCGCCCCCAGGCCACGGGGGACAGCGTGGCTTTCCAGGCCACCTGGCGCGGTCCCCCAGTCTCCCTCCCTCTGGCCGCAGAAGGGGATCCCCGGAGCTGTTGTGGCAATGATCTTATTGTCATTCTAAGAAAACGTGTGTCTGGTAAAACGGGGCCGCTCCCGCGTGAGGCATGAGTCCTCCGTGTGGCCTCCCGAATCATCGCTTCTCCCGCGGAGACGGGAGGTGTTGCTAGGCAACCAGCCCTGGGAGCGACACAGCTGAGCTTTCCTTCCTTCCCTGGTCTCATTCTCCATTGTCCTCCTCCTCGCCCCCACCCCGCTGGAGAGAGGGGCCACGGAGCGGAAAGATGCTTCTAGAAGGTGGCCGCCTCGACAAGGCAGGGCAGCCTCGGGCACCGATGCTGACGACTCGCCTCCTGTCCTCTGAACGAAGCCTGTTTTTCTTGTTTGGGGGGGGGGGGGGGGTTTGAAGCAACGAAACAGAACAGGCAGACATGGAGGCAGAGGGAGTGTGGGCCCGAGGCCACGTCTGGTGCAGGGCACGGCCCGTGTCCTCTCGCTGGTCTGGGGGCTATAAGGGCGGTTGCAACACAGAGACGCTGGCCACGGCTCGGCCAGCCCGGTGGCTGATGGTGGCCACGCTCCGGAGCCCTGCTGTCCCCGGGAGCCTCCTTGGGACGCACTTGCAAGTGCTTCTTGGGTCAGAGAATCGTGCTGTGAGACGCTAGAGACCTGGTTCGAGTCCTGGCTTGGGCAGGAAGCGCAGCCCAGAGAGGCTCCGTGCCCTTCCTGGGGTCACGTGGCTGCCTACTCCCCCGGCTCCCTGTTCAGTGCTCGTCCCCCCAGGTGTCCTGCCGCTGCTCCTTGTGCCTTCGCGCCCTCACGCTGCTCCCGAAACGCTTCTGATGCTTCACAGACTGTCACAAACCAACTCGCTGCTCCATTGTCCTCCCCTCTGGCGCCAGAATTAATTTCTGATCCTGAGGTGAGCTTGTTTAAAAACGAAAAAGATGGATGGTTCTCGGAGAGAGCAGGTTTTATCAAGGGAGCGGGAGCGGCGGCGGGAGGGCCGGGGAGAGAGCCAAGGGCTCCCGGGCAGGACGGGGGCAGCGACGGCGCCTTGGATTTGCAGGGAGGCAGAGCATCCGCTCTCCGTGTCCCCTGCCCCCCTGCTCTGGCTGGAGGTGACACCGTGGCACACTCTGGGGCCTCTCTTGGCAATGAAAGATGGTGACCGTCCTCGTAAGGAGGGCAGAGCCGGTTCTGGGGACAAGACAGCGAGCCGCCCGCGGCAGCCTTGACAGAGGTTGTGCGCGGCAGGATGGGCTCGTTCTTCCCGGGCAGGCATTTCGAAGACGGGGTGTGTGCTCGGACTTCGGAGATGTGTGCCGATCGGGAGGCAGAGGTTAGACCCCTGGAAACACGTCAGAGAAATGTCCGTCCGTGCTGAGTCCTGGTGGGGAGAACCAAGGGTTAGTCGAGAGAGGGTAGGACTAGAAAAGGAAAGACAGATTAAAGAAGGGGGGAGAGAAAGAGGCAGGAAGGAAAGAAGGAAAGAAGGTGGAGGGAGGAAGGGAGGGAGGGAACTGGTGAAGAGGCGCCATCTAGGAATAAAAAGATGGGGGGCGGGGCACAGCCCGGGCTGGGTGGTTCAGCGGGTGGGAGCTTTGTCCTGTAACCAAAGGGTTGCAGGTTCGATCCCTGGTCAGGGCACATGCGGAGGCAACTGACGGACGTTTCTCTCTCATATCGATGTTTCTCTCTCTCCCTTCCTCTCTCTCTAAAAGCAATGGGAAAAAAAGTCCTCAGGTGAGGATTTAAATAAATAACAAGGGGCCAGAGACGAAGACCCCGAGCCAGAGCCTCGGGGCTCTGAGCGGTGCGAGGAGGCTCCGGGCAGATGCCGTCGAGAGCTAGAATAATAACAGCTGCGTGTTTCCCAAGGGCGCCATGGCTGTGGGCTTGGCCTAAATCGGCATTCTGTGGGGGAAAGGAAGAGACTGGAAGCAGGGAGGTGGCGGCACAAGGGCCCGCACGCATCCGCAGCGACTGGGCGGCTCGCGCCCTCAGAACCCCGCAGAGAGGAGGCACCATCAGTGGCGGGGTGGAGGCGGCGGCACTGCCCCCGCGATGCTTCCAGCTGCCCCTCCTTCTCTCTCCCTTACTCCTCTTCCCGATCCGTCCCTTTCTCCCTGCTCCCTGAAGAGGGAATAGCGTAAGGTGAATGCAGTGGCTTTGCAATGAGTGACGAAGCCCTTTGTAATTGATTGTTTACAAATACCATGACGGCTCCCTTCGCTTTTTTTATGCCCCACGTGGATGTGTTAAGATGCGGGGTAAGGTCACATTCGTAGGATTATCGAGTGATCTGGCACTGGGATGAGCCTTGGAAGTCATCTGAACATCCACGTGTTCGGCTCCTCTGGACAGGGACCCAGTGCTGCAGGTTCTTGGAAGGCGGGTAGGCACCTGAGAATGGGGTAGAATTAAGAAAATGGGGGAGTCCAGCCCCAGCTGGTGCGGCTCAGCGGGTGGAGCGCCAGCCTGCGCACCAAAGCGCTGCTGGTTCGATTCCCAGTCAGGGCACCTGCCTGCGTTGCAAGCCTGGTCCCCAGTAGGGGGCGCACAAGAGGCAACCACACATGGATGTTTCGCTTCCTCTCTTTCTTCCTCCCTTCCCCTCTCTCTACAAATACATAAAATAAAACCATTATTTAAATTATTTTTTAAAAAAAGAAAATGGGGCGTCCAGCTGGACCTGTTGGAACGGAAGGTTTCAGGGACGTGCAGCAGCCCGAGGAAAGCTTGGGCTTGTGCCGTAGGCAGCGTTTTGCTCACCTGTGTATTGCGTGTTTACGAGAGCAAGTTAGAAAACAGGCTTGACCAGGGCTTTAAAAGGTAATGAGAATCACCTGTCATTTTGCCAACCGGAAATAACACCGTCCGGTGTGTAGAGTCATCCGTTCAGACGGTGTAACTGTGGGAGGACACTGAAGGGCAGAGCGGGGACAGCGTAGAGCCCGGACCCTAACCTCATTCCCGTGTGAATCAGTATATATTCCCATTAGCAGTCAGTGTCTCCCGCGGATCCCGCCCCGTAAATGTATCCTCAGATACTGAAAGTTTAGGCAGTGAGTCGAAACGATGTGACCGGTGTAAAAGCCACCGTGACTGCGAAGGGAAAAGACAGGCCAGCTGCGCAGACGGTGGCGGGGGACGGGAAGAAGTCCAGCTGAGGGTGCTCAGACGCTTTCACGGGGCCAGCGGCTCCATCCACAGGGCATCGGCTCGGCGTTGAGGTGATGAGCTCAGGGTAGAAGCTGATAGAAGGTGAATACGCAGAAATGAACCGGGCGTGACGCGCGGTGGGAGGCCGGGGCCCCCCGGAGGACCCAGAAGGTGAGCTGCGGGGCTTTCTCACAGGAGAAGAGACCGGAAGGGCTTTGTGGGGGGTCCTGGGGGGTCCCCGGGGTGCTGGGGGGCCCGAGGAGGCAGGGGAGCCACGGGGGGAAATGACTTGCGATGTTGTAACGGCGGATGAAGAATTCATCCAAGGGAAGCTGCCCCCTGGTGGCCATTGGCGCCACACCGTCCCCGGCCCGGCCGCCCGTGTCCTGGGTGGGTGGCCCTTTGGACATTCCGACTGGTCGCTGGGTTGGGGATGTTTCCTACCCATACAAACGGAAACGCCAAACGCCGTCTTCTCAGCCCTGTTTCCCACGACAGCGCGGGAAGGTTCTCTCCAGGAGACGGTGGTACGTGTGTGCACAGACCACGGGCCGTGCTGTGCTCCCTGCCCGTGCGAGCGAGGCCCCGTCTGCTCCGTGGCCGTGGGGTCGGGCCCTCTGCACGGGGGTCTGATGCCACAGGCCCTGGGGACATCCCCGGGAGACACCTCTCCCCAAGGCAGCCTGGACCGAGCCCTGGAAATGGCCTGGCGAGCCCCACGCATCCTCCAGGGGACCTGCTGTCCCCTCCCAGGGTCATTAGGGTGCAACCAGGGCCTGATTCGCTCGTCCGCTGGCTCCGGGCAGCGCTTGGTGTTCCAGGCCGGCGGGGCTGCGGGCGGGAGGGGGACCCGGAGGTGGATGGGGGGGCTCCAGGACCCGACTGTCTGTGTTCGTTTACACTATCTCCATTCATCCTGCCTCTCGTGAGCCGAGAGCCCGGTGTCTCCCACAGGAAATACGAGAGAGACTGTAAAATTGGAGGAAATTGCTTCCTTTGAATGTAGGAAAATACTAGCGGGCTGGCCGATCCCAGGAAAGTGTACGTCGTAGACGATAAAATTGGCGATAGGGCTCAGAGCTCAGAACAGCTTGATTTCTGCCTCTGCCTTGTCGCCCCTCTTTTGTCGCCCCGCCCTGCCGAAAGGGTTTCTGCGCGGAGCTCGCGGGCTCCGGTGGAGGCGCGTTCGCGGGGGAGGCGGCCCGGGTATTTCTGCCGCTGGGGACAGGCCGCGCCTGACAACCGAGGCCATCAGGCTAAGTCAGGACCGGGGCGGGGGAGGGGCTTCCCGGGGCCCTTTGTGCTGCCGATAGCTGTCACCCCCGTTAACGGCAGGGCGGTGCCCGGAGAGGACAGGTTTCAGAGCCGAAAGACGTCCTTCAGCGGCTCCGTGGGTCACCAGGCACCACAGCTGTCCTCACTGGAAGCCACTGCGCCAAACACACACCTGTGAACGTCACCGTGCCTCATCAGAGCGCTCCAGGAGGGGACGGGGTGGAATTATATTACACGTCAGCATCGACCACCGATTCACTCCCCCCTCTCTCTCGTTGTAGTTTTCAAGACCCCTGTTCTCAGGAGCGGGGAAGCCCGGGGGTCTGGCACTAAAGGCCAGTGGCGTCTCGGGCTGCGTTAGCGACGCGGAGAAAGCCGGCCGCACCGCCAGCGCCGCGGCGCTCCGGCCAAGGCGGCTTCAGCGGCCGCCTGTCACCTGTGGTCCGCCGTCCCC